TCATTGGGGAGGCTGCTTCTCTCCCTCTCCCTCTGCCCCTATCCCCCTACCTTTAAAATCAATCAATCAATCTTTTTTTTTTTTTTTTTGAAGATTCATTTGAGTGAGAGAGAGAGAGCATGCAACAGCACATGAGCGGGGGAGGGGCAGAGGGAGAGGCCGACTCCCCACTGAGCAGAGAGCCCTATGCGCGGACTGGATTTCAGGACCCTGAGATCATGACCTGAGCTAAAGGCAGACACTTAACTGACTGAGCCACACCAGTACCACAATAAATTAATAAATCCTTAAAAAAAACCCCAAAGAGATCAAGGGGGTAGCCAGAGAGAGCCTAATTATTATTACTATTAATTTTTTTAACCTCAAGCTTCCAGCTACATATAGAATTATTCAGAAAACCTAATACTGCTAATTCCAACTGAACTTGATTACAAGTCCCTAACTTGATTCAGTTAGCTGAAATATTTGGGAAATCCTTGCTGGAAATCTTATTGAAGTTGCAAAAAGAAATCTGTACCTACATGTGGTGAGTTTCCATGGCAAATCAACAACCCAGAAAATACTTTTCATAATTACAAGAATATGTGCTCTCATAAGGAGCTCAGAGTTTGAATGAGGTGTAATTAAAACCCAAGAACCTTCGTTTATACGTTATGAAATGTCTTAAGGGTGGTCTATTACATAAAGATATTTTAGTTTCACTCTTCTAAAATTTGTGTTCAATGTACAATCTATACTCACCATATCCTAGATGAGGTACATCACTGGACAGTAATATTCATTTTGGTTTCTACTGAATTTAAAGCAATGGCTTTAGAATATATTTGGCATTAGGCTTTTAGGCACTAGACTTTTATTGACTTAAAATGCGTATTTCTTCTCTTCAAAAAGCATCTCACACTCTTGAGGGCAGGGGATACGGTGTCTAGCTCTTTCCATACCTCCTAGATCCACAGTGCCTTGAGCACAAGAAGGGCTTGACAAATGTCTGCTGATAATTAGAATGATGTTGAGTGTCAGCTCTCCAGGCCCTAGCCTATTCAGCACCAGGCCCTAGCCTATTCAGCACATGGCAGCGGATTCTGAATGCATAAAAGTTTTGCACATTTGGAGAAATGAATCATCCTTGTTTGAGCAAGCTTCTTAATGCTTGCCATTTAAATTTAGAGCAAATGTTCTCAGGGTTACGCCCTTCCCATCAACTTATGGGACAAAGGCATCAAAAAGACCAGAAGAAGGGAATATGCAATTGATGTCAACAAAATTCATTGACTTGGTGAAAGGCCCAGCCAGGTGCCAGAGGGCGACTAAGGCAAGAGGAGTTCGCAGTGACTGAGCATTTGCTATGTGCACCACACTCTAATTACAGTTGGAAGGGCTTACCTGCTTCGACTCCACAGTCCTACAACTAATTGGGCTCTGCCACACGAGGCCTAACACTCTGGACAGACTTCCTCTTTTCTTCCCTTTTTACCCTGTGCACTCCTGCCCCAAACCCACTGTCAACCTGGAGGAGGGAGGGGAAGAAGGAGTAAAGTTGGGCTTAATTCTAGTAAGAGGCAGACTTTGCAGCAATAAATTTGAATTTTTATCAAAAATTATCTTCATAAGCTTTGGAGCAGGATGCCAATCTTCTTGAATGAATGCTTCGATAAATCTGTCTTGATTTTCAAATTTATTAACAAAACTCATTTTCATTTTTATCGGCATCTTAGTTTTGCTCCAGCAAACTCCTTTTCCCCCCGTAAGAGTCAACTGATAAGGAATAGTGAGCCCAGATAAGGAATATAATGCCCAGAATTATACGGTAGTGATGGCAATGTCGGGGAGCTCTCTAGCCAAAGACACACTGTAAGTTATTATGTGTGGTAAAAAGCAAAAGTACAACAGAAGTCTTCTTCATAACCAGAAAAGCAGAGATACACGGAAAAACACAGATTTTTAAAAAAATAAATAAACCCAAGCTATCACGTAAGTCCTCACAAAAAAAATCCTGTCCTTTCTAGAAACCAAAGTTGACTCTTTCCATCTCCCCCTCAGAAATAAAACCCATGCAGGTTGGTCTCTGCACTAGGAGAGGTGAAGAGCAAGGGAGGCCAAGGGGGACCCGCTTCATGCATCCCCGGGAGGTGGTCTTGTCACAGTCCTCTCGGGCAGGAGGCTCCACGAAGGATGTTCTCTCCTAGAATTCCCAAGAAGTCTTGGGTCACCTGCTTCCCGGGAGGCTGGAGGCAAAAGCTCACTGTTTCAGCAAAAAGGAGGAGAGCAAGGGATTCTTTAAAGAATAGAGGAATTTACATCTAGGTCAGCCCTTGGCGATTGCTGTCAGTGAATTGGAGTGCTAGGTTTTGAGATACCTGCTCCTGGGTAACTGACAGATGCAAGTTTGCACCTAAAATGAATACAGAGTCACCTAACTTCACTGAAAGGTGTTTCCCTCAGGCTGCAGGGTCTTAATCCCACCCCTTCCAGCTGTAGTCTGCAGGGATCTGGAGGAAGCTTGGTCAAAGGACCAGATGGAAATCCTTGCTGTCAGGCTATGTCCCTGAATATGCTGGGCGCAAAGAAAAACAGCCGCAAGCCTTTCAGTGGGATCTTCTGGGCCCAGAGGAATAAAAAAGGTTAGTCGCTTTCCCTTCCCTCTAATTGGTTCTGAACTTCCTCCATCAACCACACGCTGCGTTCTCTGGTCCATCTCATTTTTGAAAAGCACGAAAAGGACTTTGAACTCCTGGGGACCAGGCATTTGAACTCCAGTTCTTCCATCTCCTCCCCCAGCACTCGGTACAAAACATGCTCGGTGCTGTGTTCATTCATGCTGCTGACCAAGGAATAAGCCTGGAAAACTCAAAGTTCAGCTCGTGCTTTAGGCTCCCATCAGATGCCTGGGGGAAAAAACCGACAGAGATCTGGGAAGCGGGCTCCTCAGTGAAGCTTCCAGAGAGGATCTCGTGTCCCCACTGAGCAAAGGGCTCTTTGAGTTCTGCATCAGAGCTCGGGGGCTGATGCTGCGGGTCTGTGCTTGCTGCCATGGTCTGTAAGACTTCCCGTTGAACGTGACTGTTCTGAGTCATTCTTACTCTTGTCCTCTTCCGAGCAGACTAAGAAATTATACATATTCCTTACTTGGAAAATTGACAACTTGTTTAAAAAGAAATGTCACCCCCAAATTAAAAAAAAAAAAAAGTCACGGGTTCAAACAAGAATTTCTGATGGATTCAGTTCTTTTCTTCTACACCTACCTTATAAGAATGTTAAAGATCCAAGTTTCATGTAAACTTGCTCCTCATTTAGAAACTTCAAAAATGATGAAAACTTTCTTGAGCGGAAAAAAATTTATTTATTTATCGGAAGATCTCATTAAATTTAAGAAACTCACACTAAAACTCGCTCTTTTCTTTTGATAAATGAAGGCTTGCAGAATAGAGATTGCCGCCCTCCAATAAGCAAGTCCAAGTCCAATAATCAAGCAGTCCTGAGAAATCTCATCTCCACTTAATAAGAGATATACATTGACACATAAATGCTAGGTTCATTTTTCAGACAAAGGATATATGGCTTCAAAAAATAGTGGCATGGTGCCTGCTTTTATGCTAAGCTTCTAAAAGATTTAAATGAGTGGAATTTGAGGATGAAAGGGAAATTTTCTAACGCACTGGTCCTGAAACTTTAGCATGCTTCAGAATTCCCGGGAGCATTTAAATCACAAATTGCTGGATCTCACACCCACCTCTGCCTCCCCTAAAGTTTCTGATTCCTTAGGTATTGAGTAGGGCCTGAGGATTTATATTTCTAACAAGTTCCCAGGTGATGCTGATGTTGCCAGACTGGGGACCACACTTTCAGAACCACTACTCTCATGAATTTGAAGTCCCTTCTGTAACCGCCTGGATGCAGAGCACTTTCTGGTGATCATCATTTATGTCCCTGGCCCTCTCTAAACCCTGAAGAAACAGAACGCTCTGACCACTTTGCAATCTTGCTAACCTGACCCTGCTGGAATCTTGATTTTGGCTTCTACCAACACATTAGCAAAGATCCTCTGTTCCTGTTCTGGATTTTGTTAAAGAGCCCAAGAGGGGTGAATAATTTAGTCACAGGTATGTATGAGGAGACAGGTCAAATCTACGCAAACCCTCTGATTTTCTTTTTTGGAAATGGTGGCAATTGTGGTCCTTCCCAGGCTCTTTAGACAACACTCTTACACTTAGACTTAGAAAGTCTCCCTTGGTGTCTCCCACATCTGAGTGAGCATTTCTTTGCCTGCAATACTGAGATTTACATCTAATTTGAGAAGAGAGATTTCAGTCGGCCTCTTGGTTCAGGCAGAGCACATAAAGCAAGGTTCTCACTCAGCTTCTTTCCTTTTTACAACTCAAGGAGTGATACTCCTTTCTTGGTACCAAATGGGGCCACCCCTTTGATTACGGGTTAGGCAATGTTTATTGGAAAAATGTCTCATTCCCCAGCACATTGGCTCAGAGGCTAGAAAGCTTCTTCTGAGATTAAAGAATTCCCACATAAGAAGTACACGGACTGAAACCAAATTTTATGTGTATTTCAGCACCAGCAGTAGCTGCCACGCTCTGGAAAAGGATTTTTATGGGAATAGGCAAATAACCCTGAGAAAAAAACAACAGCCCTAGATCCATGGATGGAGAAACAACTGCAGCAATTTAAATCACCATGTCCCTAAGAAGGAGTTTCGAGTTCTATTAATAAAAAGCAGAGTCATGTAAAGATGAAGGTTTAGTATAACTCAAATAAAAGTGAGTTATGTGGGCATTTCCTAATACCTACACCCCACCTGAGATATGGAAGAGCATGATGGCATCTCATGATGGCACCTCACAGGGGTGCATGAGGCAGAGCATGACAGCGCCTCACAGGGGTGCGTGTGGAAGAGCACGACAGCACCTCACAGGGGTGCGTGAGGAAGACCATGATGGTGCCTCACGACAGCGCCTCACAGGGGTGCGTGTGGCCATCGTCAGCATTACCTGATTCATCGACTCGCATTTTTTTAGTAGGGCTATCACAGTTCTCATCATCTGACATTTCCATCTCTTCTTCACGGCGGATGCCCATGAGCTGCTCACTTTGAGCATTCCGGAGCTCCTGAAAGCAGAAGACAGGAGAACGTCAGAGTCTCAGACACATGTCGACACACCTTTTCCCAGTGGTCTTTAGGTGTACTGTTGACTGATATGTGAACGCTTAGAACCTGAAGTGTTCCCCTCCCAAACACTGCCCCAGGTAATCTGGAATAAAGTTCTTAGGGCTGTGGGGGAGTAGGAAGACCCAAGGATAAATCCCTGCTCACCAGTGACTAGTCAGGGTGTCTTTAGCAAATTATTTCATCTCTTGAGTCTCAATTTCCTCATTTGCCAAAAAGGGGATAATAACACCACCTAGTAGGATTCCACAGAAATGCCTCTTGCCATGACTGGCACATGCGAGGGACTGAGCTAATGATAAGAAATACGCATGATGACATTTATAAAAGGTCTTGTTGACCACTGTGTAAATTCAGGAATGTTTCTTCATCTCTCTAAACCTTGATTTACTCATTGGAATACTGTGATAATAACAGTTTTGAGGATCAAATAAATTAATGCATGCAAAACTCCTTAGGATTATGGTAGACACTTGGTTCGCTAAGTTGATAACATAGACAACTATAATTCTTCACGCAAAGTAGCACCCCTGCGGGGTGTCTGGGTGGCTCAGTCGGTTAAGTGTCTACCTTCAACTCAGGTCATGATCCCAGGGTGCTGGGATTGAGCGGGCGTGGGCTCCCTGCTCAGCACGGGGTCTACTTCTCCCTCTCCCTCTGTCCCAACCCCACTTATGATTCCTCTCTAATAAATGAATAACATCCTTAAAAAAAAAAATAGTGCCCTTACATTGTGTGCGCGCGCTCCTGTGTGATCACACGCACACACTATTCAGACAGCGAAATGGTAAAATGCCAAAGATGCTGGATGACAAAATAGAACCGATGCCTGCTTTTTGGTGTTTCACATCATCATGTTGTGTTTAGTGTTTCTGTGTGATGGCTGTATTGACATCACTGAGAGATCTTAGGATCATATCTTACTTTTTCTACTTACTAGAGGAGGGACGGTAGTCAAAGAGTACATGGGAAAACTCACTGTAAAAAGTAACAAGTCACAATACATTTTTTACTCCCTTTCCAAAAAACTAGGACACTAATTATTCATGGTAAGGAATTATATTATTTTGTATTAAGCTGAATATTGTGTATTTGTGAATCCTTACCAGTTCTGTTCTGTCAAATGTACTATCCTCAAGAAAACAAAATAAAACAGGGAAAGAACTACATTATTCTTTTTCTCACCTCTGAAATTGAAGTCTCTAAATAAAAGTCAAAGAGTTAAAATAATTTTGCTTCTAAATAACAATAAAACTAAATTATAACACCTAATGTATTAATGGCATGATTTTAAACATAGTTCTAATGTCCATCTAATGGATGTGCATATTTTATTGTTACAGGTTCTCTGAACTCTCCTCTCTCCTTAGCTCACATATTTTAACTGTAGTAGGACCAAAAGAAAATTAGGTCTTGCTGGCAGTATTCGCGTGGTCAACTCTGAACCCTGGCAACAAGCCCTGCAGAGGACCAGGAAAGGGGAGGGAGGGCAGAGAGTCAAGGTCCCTGGGAGAGGGACACCCATCATGGGGAGCCTTGAGAGGCCTCCAGGAGGATGGGCAGTGCCTCCTCACTTGACCCCGCCAGCCAGTAGAAAGAGGTGCCAATTCCGCCGTAAATAACACCAGTGGCTCTTGGAGGCAGATGTCACGTGTGATTAGTGGGGACGCCTTTAGGTTGTGCAGCTAATTTTTCTACTGACAAAGAACCCAGTTCCTAAAGAGGTGGCGTGAAAATACTTGAAACAAGGAAAAGTCAGGAGGAAGGAATAAATGAGGCTGAAAGGGCCTGTTGTTGAGTCCCCACAATTAATGACAAACTGTCATATTGTAGCTGTTCTTGTGTGGAAGGGTGTTGGAAAGAAAAAAAAAAAAAACTGGAGGGGGAAAAAAAAAAAGCCAAAGGTGTTTCCACAGGGTGCCTCTGGTTCAGCAGTAAATCACTCGTACACTCTCATAAATCTGCGAAGGTGTTGCAGATAATTAACAGATGCTGTACACGGGAACGCGGAAAAAATCAAGCCAATTATCAAGCTTATACGCAACAGAGAAATCATCCACAATGTTAAATTACCAACTGGTATTTAATCAATTAAGCGACATGTAGGAGAGGAAATCAAAGGTAATTTAGAATTCTATTTCCTAGAATATCAAAAGAGGTGGTAGGAGTGGCAGGGAGGCACAAAGCCCCTTTGCAGGAGCACCTTTCAGGAACGTGTGCATCCATTTCTACTATGCCCTGTGGACCCAGCAAAGTGAGCAGGCTTCCTTAGAACAAAGCTAGAAGCTTCGTGTGCCCTCCTCAGCAGCGGGGACACAGCCCCCGTTCCTTTGGGGACCAGGGCTAGGGGCAGTGGACCAGGCCGGTGGGAAGCGTGATTTAGATCAATAATGGATTATTTCCTAATATTCACATACTAATGACAGCCTTTTTATGTCAGATCATTAGCATAATACCACTTGCCTTCCCCTTAACATTTCTTTTAATCATTTGCTGTTTATATGAAGGAAAAAAAAATAAGATAAACAATTCTTAGACCCTCTGTTCCCAAATCTGAATCAGTTTATGGATTTCAATTTGTGTTTTCATAACCCTCGATCTGTATATTTCATCCTAAATGAGGACTCTCTCTCCTCCTGAAAATCAGCCTTGACTCAGGTCTCAATTCAGTGTCTGGGAGAGCAGCAGGTAAGCACCCTTTGTTTTTCTGGCCCCTGAAAAATTAAAGAGAAATCCCACTTTCTCCTTACTCATAATCCTGAACTGAGGAACAGAACTACATCAGTCACCAGCCACCTTCTTAAGTATTTGTGAACAAAATAAAAAAATGTCCTTCTTAATAAATTGTACTAGCATTTTAAGTGTCCCATTATTGTGGAGTCATTCAGTATTCACCATAATAACAGTGATAATAAAGGATTCATTTGGTTTTCATGTGGATGTTACATCTAGTGCCATTGGTGTTTAGCTGTAATTTAGCATTAGTTAATGGGCACTTAAAATGCTACCCAAATGATTGATATTATAGTACTTTGTGGTTCTTCAAATTCCATATAAAAAACTTACTTTACAAGTGTGAGCCCAAATCATTAAATAAACAAGCCTTACCTTCTATAAGTTTGGGGATTTTGAAAGAAGGGAGTATCATTTACAGAACTTTAATATTAACATGCTAGAGATGGAGAAGCATCCAAATGGAAAACATTCTCTCGTTAAAACACACACACACACACACACACACACACAAAACACACAAAAAAACAAATAAGCAAACAAAGATAGTATACTTACTTTTAAACGACAGGTTCAAAGCGTACACTAAACTGTGAAGTTAAAAATAACAGCTGCATGACCCATCACTAATGACACATTCTGGTCTTTCTGGGTGGCAAGGAAGGTCAAGGTCTGGCCTCTTTCCTTGGGGTGGATACTCACACTTCACACATGCATTGCTGCAGAAGGGTGGACTCTGGCTAGACTGGACATTCGATCCCCCAAGGGATAGGCACTCTGGGGAGAGCTGTTACATACCCGGCTGGCTAGCAAAGGGGACTAGGGCTTTATTTATGATGGGAAGGCACAGAAGAAAGGCTTACTTGCCATTTCTAGCCCAAAGAGCAAAGCATCATCATCATGTTGCAGAACACTGGGGGAAAAAAAAAAACCCTCCATATTTATTTAAAAAGCCAGTTTTCTATTTTACATTACACTTTTCTTCAGAATAGGCAGGCAAAGTGTCTTGGCTTATTTCCGAGCTTTTTGCTATGAATGGGAGAGATGCCTTTCTCCCTTTGCAGGGGTAGAAAAGCACTCTGTTTTCTAAGCATTAAGTCAGCTGCTCTTCTGGCTAAGGCCCAAGTCTGAGCTGGGTTCGGAGCTGACAATGAGACAGGACAATGGTACAACAGCTGCCCGCTATAACAAGAACCGAAATGGCTGCAGCCACACCATTCTCTGCCAATCCAGCTGTGTGATGGTGGTTAGAAAGTAATCATAAAATCACCAACCTCAGAGTGCTTTCGCCAAATGTCTATGTTCTTGCGCTGAGCTTTCGAGAAATGGTCCCAAGCTTTTTGTCTGGTAGAAGCGTTGAAAACGGCCACAATCTGCTCAACTTTGGTGAACAAGGAAGTCAAACAAGACAAGTAATTTATGTTGTGATCACTATAGGGAAGCAAAGCAAAGACACTAGGAGTCTATGGATGATGTCACAGTAGAAATAACATCATCAATATCCATCCAATTTGTGCCTTTTTATACTTACATTTTAGCAAGGTTGGGGAGGTCTCCCTTCAAGTCTGTCTCCATAACTTTAGGTTAAAACAAATTCTAAATACGACTAGGAAGAGTTCATGGGCATCTGCTTCCAAGCATTCCACAGCTCTTGTTTAAAAATGGGACTTGCTATGCCTATATACCAAGATCTACAGAGACAGATCTGGAGTTGGCATACAGATACAGATATATGCATAGAGGAATGCCAGTTGGGGGCTTAGAGGTGAAGCCGGGGTGGACTGGCTGAATGAGGAAGAGCCAAACATGTACCTTTTCTTTTTTGGTCTCCATCTCAAGGACTCAACTGCAGTCCTCGGAAGACAGTACCATGTCCAAGTTCCAAGCTGGGGCAATGAGTAGTTATTTCATATTGCCCCTCAATCTCAAGGGCCATTTTTACTCCTTGGCTCCTTTCTCCTTCCTGCCCCTCCCCCTCCCAGCCCCTGCACTCACTGCAGTCAGCCCTCCAGCCCTCTGGCGGGGAACAGGAGCCATAGCCTCCATTCAAGACAGACCAAGGCTCCTCCAACCAGCTGCACAGGCATGCAGATCGCATTTCGACACCCCGTGGCGCCCTCTGTAGCTCATCACGACCACGTACCATTCTGTTCTGCCATTTTCACTTTCATAAGGCTGCCCTCCCAAACCCCTTGAAGTGCTCACTCTCTCACTTTGACTTCATTTAGTACTTTTGGGGCTCCTGGGCAGAGCGCTACTGGAATGATAAATGTTGGGGGTCTGAACAAAGCTATACAGAGAAGGGCATGAGCTCTTAGTAGTGGATCTTAGGGGTGGGGGCAACCAACAGTTATTGATCTAATAAGCATGGGATTAGGAAATTATAGCACCGAATTAACTGTATGATTAAACTTGAATTTCTGAATATTTAGTTAGGAAGGCACAGTTAGAATTAGCCTCTCATGGATGCTAATACTCTAACATAAATCCTTCTTAAGTGATTCCCAAGGCTCTATTATAAAAAAGGGCATCAAAGCTCTTCCAAATCTTCCAGGTGTCCAAAGTATGGCAAAGAGTAATAGAGTAATCCCCACAGAAAAACAACAATCTTAAAAAGAAGCCCACAAAACAAACAAGAGTGTGATGGAGCAGAGAAGGAAAGTAGATTCTGTTAACTTATCACACTGTAAATGTCTCATAAGGCTAATGAGCAACCACTTCCTAATCAATGTGTAATTCTCACAGAGGCTGTGATGTTTACTCATTACTACCTTGAAAGAATCCCAACTCCAAACCTTCCTATTCATCAAACTTTATCATCAGGTCATATGATGAATTGGTTGCACCCAGGTTGCAGCAGGGGGAGGTGCCACCCCCTTCGCTCACACTCTCCGTGCGTACACATGGCTCCCTTCCCTGACCGTGTCTGGACAGGGTCACAGATTGTGTGCTGCTCTAGGTGTGGATGTGTACCTGACCACCAGCTCTCAGGCCTCTGCTGGGCTCCAGGGCAGCATTGCCGGTGGACAACTGGCTCTGCCCTCCTGCCCCGGCTCCCTGCTGTTTTGTCTGCATGCAGGCTGGGGTCATAGGGGACTTTAAGCTACCTTCTGCAGGGGCAACACAGAGCAGTCAGCCCAATATGCACCGGTGAAATCAGCAGTCAGATGAGGTTATGTGGCAGGGGTGGTAATCACAAGCCTGTTAAAGAGGACCCGACCCCACTGCTTTAAGAGTAGAGCTTTATAACAGCCATCTACAAGAATGAGAACTGTGGTATCCAGAGGGGAAGGGGCAGTAAGGATTGAGGCTGAGTATTTGGGTGGTGACAGTCAAAATTCTGCCATCAATCAAGAAAGGTTGTTAATAAAGGGAATAAACTAGAGAGAAAATTCTCTGTTCATGTATGTGTGTGAAGTAGAGGGAAGGTAAGAGTGGCCAGTAACACCTCTGGAAGCATACGGAAGGGAAAGCACTTAGAAAAAAGACCCAGTGGCCAAATACTACACAAGTTCAAGGGTAAAAATAGATCCTCTCATACCTACTCAAGCCATGTTCTGTGGCAAATGTTTTGCATTTGAGCTAAAGTGCCTCAGTTATTTAGAACAAGTTGTTACCATATCCCAGGGCATAGTTGCAATGCAATCAACTATCCACCCAACCATCCTTTCGTACAGCAAACATCTGAGTTCCTCTGGTTACCAAGCACTTGACTGACTGCTAGAAATATATAATTAAGGCAGTGCTTGCCCTTGATGAGATCATAGGCTCTAGGGAGAAAGAAAGATAAGCAGTTAATTATCCTATGCTAGAGACGTGTGGATGCTATGGGGACACAGTAACAAACTCAGTAGGTGGAGTCAGGAAATACTCCCAAAACTCCCAAAAAGGCATCATTGTTGCTAGACCTTAAATGATGGATCAATGCTTGCTCCTGAGTTCAAAGGGTGGTATGGAGTCATGAAAGGACTTTGTAGGGTTGGGACAAATGTTGAGCAAGGATGGATTAAGAAGGACAGTGGATGCTAAGCCAGCTGGTGAACTTCGTATTGTAGCCCTAAGACACACATCTGAGTAGGATTTGTTTGGGAGAAATGATGAAGGCTTGAGTTAAAACAGAGCACTGCAGTAGAGGCAGGAGCAAGGAGTCATTTGCCGGAGTGAGGTGATACCACAAGTGGCTGACTTGCTATGAGTCTCCCTTTCACGAAGGGGAGACAAGGATGGCTCAGGCTGGAGAAGTATGTAGACCATGAGGACAAGCACAGGGGGCAGTCTGAGAGAGAAGGTAGAGAGTTTGCCTTTGAACATGCTGAACTTGGCATGCCTGAAGGTCATCTCAATAGAGCTGAAACACATACTGGGGGTTCAGAAAAAAGTCAAGACTCAAAATTAAGACAGGTCTTAAATTTTTCAGACTATTCTCAATTTCAGGAATTGTGTTCTTTTCGGTATGGTAATTAATTAAAAGCAAAATACATGTGGCTAACTTTTTACTTCTAAGTTTTATACTTTCTCCACATATTTTAACAAATAATAAAGAACCCCTCCAAAACCAAAAAATATTTTTTAAAAAATGGTTTAAAAAACATTTTTAGGTTTAAAAAACATTCTCACAGTGTTTCCAAGGCCCAGTTTACTTCTCTCATTTCTGTGCAGACTGCCCCCAACCAGCCATTTGTCTTGCAATGAAAGTTCTTAGGCACACAAAAGGACTCGGAAAGAGTGCCTGGATCAGCAGGAATTCATCATCCTTAGGGAAAAACCACCTCAAAGAGTATGCCTTAATGAATGTGATTTAAAGACAGGAGATTTTCAAAATCATAAATCAGGATGACTGCTGGTGGTGATGTCACAAGACCATACACTTTTTTTTTTTTTTTTTTAAAGATTTTAAAAGAGCGCGCACGAGTGGACAGGATATAGGGAAAGGGCGAGAGAATCTGAAGCAGGCTCCAGACTTGGGGACCTGATCAGGACCTGATCTGAAACCAAGAGTCAGATGCTCAACCAACTGCACCACCCAGCGGCCCAGTATACACTCTTCATTGTCTCTAGCAGGGAACCCCAAAGAGCAAGTCGCCAAATTTGACCATCACTCACTACTTCCCTGGTATATAATTTACACTACTTGTTCTATATATAATAAAACTACAAGTAGTTACTAACTGAACTGAATTTTTAAAATTCTACCTAAGGGGTGCCTGGGTGGCTCAGTCAGTTAAGCGCCTGCCTTTGGCTCAGGTCATGATCCCAGGGTTCTGGGATCAAGCTCCCCAGTGGGGCTCCCTGCTCAGTGGGGAATCTGCTTCTCACTCTCACTCTGTGCTCTCCCTCTGTCTCAAACGAAGAAATAAAATCTTTTTAAAAAATAAAATTAATAAAATAAAATTCTACCTAAAAGCTCAGAGAAGAGATAAATAGTAAACAAGATGGTACCAGCATTTGTTCAAAAAAGCAGCTTATAGAAGAACAAATTCAGATCAGCCCCAATCTGTGCCAGTAGTGTGCCCGGTAGGCTAGAGACTACGAGGTTCTGAGGCCCTAGTTGAGGCTGGATCAGCTGTACACATAAATATTTTTAAAGTACTATCAATAGAAAGAGATCAGTCAGAAAACTTAAATCTACATTCACACACCTTGCAAATTTCCCCCAGCCCACTGCCAAATTCTACATTATAATGTTTTGCCTAACTTAGGTTGAGAATTAAGAAAAAAATTAAAAGTGATTTTTTTCACAGTATGTTTGAATGTCAGTCTTAGATGTCATATGAGATTCTGTGACATATATCCAGCAGGTATAAGTGAACCTAAGAGAAGGGGAACAGAGCTTCGATGAAGTTGCTAATCACTCTCTGCATCTGCAGACCCCACATTAAAAGATAAACTGAGGTCTGTTAAAAATCTGAAGAGTTTATTTGAGCAAAACAGATGGAATCAGGCCGTGCCAAACAGGAAGTGGTTAGGGGCGCTCCCCTTCTTGGCAGGAGCTGGGGAGAGGCTTTTCTAGAAAAAGGGCAGAAGCAAAGCAAGGATATCATGGATTGGTCACAGCTTCAGTTCTAATTGGTTGCTTGTGATTGGTTGTGTTGAGGTTTTGATTTTGTGACTTTCAGGCATTTGTAGACTTGGATTTGGGTTTGCCTATGTACACCACAACCACATCAGAGCCACCTCTGTCTGGGGTTCTCCTTGTTCAATTAACTGAATATCCTACTAGTGATTAGTCATTCTTTGCTGTGTGTAAAGAGACCCACATACACACACATAACACACATGTGTATATGTATAATCTTCAGAATTTTTTTTAAAAAATCCGTAAGACTGGGGCATCTGGGTGGCTCAGTGGGTTAAAGCCTCTGCCTTCAGCTCAGGTCAAGA